CTATGCGAAGCGGCTCACAGGACCTGGCAAAGCTGGTGGCTGAGTCTATCCAAGCTGGGCGATATAGGACTCCCTCGTCTCATACCAGGAATACGCAAAGGAGAGCACAGTGAGTTACACCTTTTTGAGGACGCGTCGGAGGTGGGATACGGGGTGGTGGCCTACGGTTGCTCGTCTCGGCCAGGAGGAAGGAGGCATAGCAGTAAAGTATTCGCCAAAGACAGGGGCGCTCCCATAAAGGCAGTCTCAATACTCAGGCTAGAACTGGCAGCAGCAGTGTTAGCCGTGAGGGTGGCGAAGGTGCTCAAAACATGTTTTACCTCGATCGAATGGACTGCAACTTACTGGACTGATTCCGCTATAGTTCTTCGCTATGTTAACAATGTACGGACGCGCTTCAGCACATCTGTTGCCATCTTCCTCTGGGGGTAGCCCTTACCTTTCTGGACTACTACCATTCTAGTTGCTTAACGCTGTACTTTCTCAAGACACCGTTTATCCTGTTTAAAATAAGGCGCACGTGTTTGTACGCACTATTACAGATGAAGAGGAATTAGGGTTTTGTACAAAGGTACGAAAACCTCCGGTCTTCTGCAAATTACAACAGCGTACAAACCGGAAATTTCGCGTCCAGATTTATTAGCTGCAAGCTTGCACTGCAGGGATTGCATAAAGTTATTTGCAATCCTCACCCCTAGATCGTTCTGTGGCGATTTCCAACAGCTTTTGTACACACTACTTATCTAATTCCATTATCCTCCTTTTCTCATCTCTTCTTGCTAGTTTATGAACTCAACGTTTAAGAGTTGTTTTAACCGGCCCCCTTATTACCCAATCGGTATCTTTGTGGTTTTGCTCCGTGATTTTCTCAATTGTTTGTCGTTCTGTAACTGGGACCTACGGCGGTTTCGTAAGTCACAGATATGTATTGATTTATGTGTAATTTCCAAAACGATTCGTTCTAGCTCGACCGTAGCCAAAGTGTAATCGACCATTCTACGATCGTTCTATATAGCGTCAATGAGACCGTTGAGCAACGCGTAGCTAAATGCGAACCCCGAAGTCAGAAAGATATTGATCCGCCATGCGTACGATACTGTTTATTTCATTAGGTGCGCCAAAGAACAACGTACCTCAACAATGCGACCCAGTCGCTATACAGCCAAAAAGGTGAGTTCAAACAAATGGGTAGAGACCTGGTATAAAGACAAGGAAATAAATATACAAAGAGGGAACAAAAATACCTGTTAAGTCAAGCAAGGGATTCTGTTCACTTAATGTGAACAGCCAAGATTAATTCAAACAGATCGACAAAGATCTGTTTGCCACGGGGAGAAATTCTGTTCACCAAACGTGAACAGCCAGTGATCGAAGTCAGATATGCACTCGCACCATAACTTGCTTCACTTGTCACCCAGGGATCAAGTGTCCGCGAATGTGCAAGCAATCATGGGGATTCCTGTCCTGCGCCTTATGGTATTACTTACCTCGGAATAGTCCCGGTAGAAATAATGCACGGCGACAGATCGTTGAAGGTATATGCCTTGCTAGATTTCGGTTCGGATACCACAATAGTTAGAAATGAAGTTTTCGAAATGTTAGAGCTAAGTGGCCCGGGAGTACGCATGAACGTTCACACCTTGGTTGGAGAGCGACATATTGTGAGTTAAATGGTATCATTCGAAGTTCGCTCCCTTAGGGATCATAAAGACATTAAGGTAGGCACTGCACACATCATGGACGATCTATTACTGCCAAGAGCTCAATTATCGGTTAAGAAACAAACGGCTCAATTAACCCATCTACAGGGTATAGAAAAGGAGCATCTGAGTAACCCTAGGGTTCACTTGACCATTAGTTGTGATGTCCATCAAGCTCATTGGGTGATTTATAATCTATACGTTGGGCCAAACGAGCTCTTTGCGATCGAATCTTCGTTGGAATGGTTGGTTATGGGGCCGTCTTTGAGCGCAAAAGCTTGGAAACGAATGTTTACCATCACCCAGGAGAGTAAAAGTAGCATCATGGTGGAGGATTTATATAACAAGGAGTTTGAAGACCTGCATACGATGGTCACACATCACTCCGAAGATCGTCGAGCGTTGCAAATAGCAGATGAATCAATAATCCATGACGTAAAACGATTTTGCATCGGATTAACATGGGAAACCAAGCCATAGAACCTGCTGAACAGCTAAGAGCTAATGATGTGGATGTTAGAATGCCTGAAACGCAGGTTTATGCGAGATCCAAATTTATTTAACAGGTACAATAGTTTATTGAACGACCACTTTCGAAAGGGCTATTTTGACCGTGTACCTGACTA